GGCCTCCCAAGAGGGCCCCCAAGAGGCCCCAAGAGGCCCTTCTAGGGGCCTCCCAAGAGGGCCCTCTAAGGGCCCCCAAGAGGCCTCAAGAGGGCCCTCTAAGGGCCCCCAAGAGGCCGTAAGAAAAGAAGAGGTGAAGAGATTCAACAGATACTGCGTTTGTTATTTTGATGTTGCGGTCATCCATTGTTTATATTAAATCGGTTTAATATATAAAATATTATTTTCATAATAAACATAATAATAATATTATTAATAATAAACGACATAGAAGTGTATTCAAATGAATAAAGATATAAACAACAGCAGTATAGCATAAGGGTTTATGAAAGGGAGAGCGATGTAATTAATATAAATTAATTATTTTATTAGTAATTCTTACTAATGAAGAAGGGTTAATAGAAACAAAGGGGTGTATTTCTTAACAATGTTATATTAGGCATAAGATATCAGATATCTAATTATAGTTAGTTTTAATTAAAACAGAAAATGCATTAAGAGCCTTTGTTTTAAAGTATTGCTTCTCTGTTTATTTGAATATATTGAACAGCTACTAGAATGTATAGGCCACGCTGCAAACAAAACAAATTCTTCTCTCTTAAAGTCTATGGAGGTAATATTAAAACTTATCTACGCCCCTATGCGCAACCCCTGTGCAAGTAGTTAGGCAGCGCATACACTGGAGAGGAAGGTATATTATTTGTTAAATATTTTGTTTCTACCTCTCTTCATTGTTGATGTAAATATATAACCATTTCTAATTGCTCGGAGACTGTTTCCTGACGGACACTGTGTGTTTCTTCATGCATTAAAACTTAAGAGATTAGCTCTTTATGGTGTTTGTAGCTGCGTTTGCCCTGCAGCACTGCAGCAAGAGATGCAGCAGAGACTTCGCGAGGTAATGCCCCTCCTCGCCTCTGCAGCTGCATACCTCTATGTCTGTATGGATATTGGAGAGAAAGTTAAAGCTTCTTCCTAGAAATTCTAGTGCTGAAAGACTTCTTTCTCTATAACACGTCGACAGTGTTCTCGTTTTAGACAGGATATACCCATTAATTAGTACATCTCACTGTATACCCTCTACACTGCTATGCAAATCTAGCAATTAAAAGCTTTAAAAATAAAAATAGAAGTCAGAAGGAACCATAAAGGCGGACAGAGTCAATAGTTTCCCATACATGCAGATATATACACTCAAGAAGTTGAGGGGTGGAGAGCGTAAACAAACACAAGTGATGCATGCAGCTGGATCTTTTTTGGTTGAGTAAGTTGAATTTTAATGAATATTTCTTCTTTTTTTGATTATTTTCACTGAAATCTAAGATATATGTACATACACCGCATTCAGAAACCCGCAGAAGCCCCACCCACACTCCTGGGGCTTTTTTATTTCTCGCCTCTGTGGGGGCCAGTGAGGCGCATATCGATAGGAAGATTCTGTCATTTAGAAAGTAAAAACAAGAATATTTCTGCTGTTTTCTTCTTGGCTTGTTTGGGGTTTATCTTTTAACGAAGAAAAACCAACGAAGATGATGTTCGGTGAGTCTGGAGTGTATAGGCAGCTCCGTCGTGCATGTTCTTGAGAGCACTGAAGTTATTGTGTTCAATCTTCTTCATTATATTTGTGATTTTATTGAGATTCATTCGGTTTTTACCGTAGTATTGTGCATTTTAATACGTTTACACGCATCAATACACCGAAAGCGATCCTCTTTCTTCCTCCTTTCCCCTCATGTGCGGGAAGCTGCGGGTGGGGCCTCTGGTTATTCTTTGTATCTTTTTCTGTTTCTTTGTTTGTTATTTTTGGCTTAAATCTGTTCATAACTGTTCATTATGCTTTCTTACGTCCATTTATTCATGAGATTCTCTGTTTTATTTATGTATTCTTCTTTGTTTCCTTGTCTGTTCAGCAAAGAATCTGAAGCCCGGTCAGACGGTGAAGGTAACTCCCGAAGATGGGGGTGAAATATTGCACATTTCTCAGGTTTGCATGAGCAAGCCTGTGGATGGCAACAGGACATATTTGAAGATTGTTCAGGGATCTCAGAGTTTCGCCGCCTGCGTTCTGCAACGTGATAAGCAAGAGTCATGCAGCGTTGATCTATTTCTTTCTGCTCGTGAAGGCATTCAACTAGCTCTAGAAGGAGGAAAGAATGAATTAAGTGTAATTGGGTACTTTGAACCCGAGCCAGAGTCAGAGAGTGAGGATGAAGGGGATATGGCTGGCTTTGAAGGAGAAAGTGAAGAAGAAAGTGAAGAAGAAGATCTTTCTGAAGATGAAACAGACGGAATGACGGCTCCTGTCATCAGAGTAAGCAGAGCATATCATGCATGCACACAAACATTTACTACGCTCTCCTCGCTGTATATCGATGCGTACATCTTAGTCAGAGAATACCCGTTCTTGTGTTTGCAAACATATATATACAATCTATATATATAGTGGATATATATGCATATACATGCTTTTGTATAGATTCTTGTATATATACACCGTATGCGGATGCTTACAATACAACTCGTCTGTACGTCAATGCATTTAGTTATATATTTTATTTATATGTATATATGATATATTGCCCCTATGCATATATACGTACGTATATATATATATATATATATATATGTTTATATCTATATATATATATATATATATTTATCTGTTTATTTATTTATGTGTTTCAGGACGGGCGTGTTGAGGATTTGGATGCCCAGGAAGAAGATTCGAAGAGTAAGCTGATTGAAGAATATTTTATTGAGTTGTTTTGAGGTGTATGTACACCTGAAAAGGTTGCAACGGCTGTTTCTAAGGCTGGGGGTCTTCATTTAATTTTCCTTCAGTCATTTCACCCAGCCAACATAAAATTAATATCTGCATCTTTGCGATAATACCTTTTGAGATATTGAAGGTCTCTTGAAGGTGTAGCAGAGTGTAGACAGCGAGAAAAGAAGAAGTTTATAACATTATATGTTATATATATATAATATTATATAAGAATATTATATATATTTGGATTGATAGATACACCTCATGCATGCATTTGTTTATTTTTCTGTCTTGTTCTTGCTGCTCGTAGAGAAGGCGAAGACAGCAAATAATAATAAGAAGACTCAAGCCTTAAAAGCACTTCAAGCTGCTGCAGCAAACGATGATGATGATGAAGATGATGAAGATGTGCGTCTTCACAAATTTCTTCCTTCGGTTCTTACAACTACTCAGTGCAAATAATAAATATTGATAGCGCAGATATATATATATATATATATGTATAATTATACATAATTATATATGTGTATATGTATATATTTATGTACGTACGTATAATATATGTATATATATATATATATATATTATAAGCATATATACATATATAAGAGTATATATATATAGATTTATGTGCACGAGGTTGTTGTAAGAGTTGAATATAAGTATGTTATAGAGTGTAACTATATATATGTATATATATGTTTATATATATAAGCATATATATATATATATGCTTAAATATATATATACATATATATATATTCATATGCCTATCGTTATTGCATTTAAGTAGATAATATTGTGCATTATATGAAGACAAATTTTTGTGTATTTGTTTGCTGCAGGACGAAGAAGAAGATGAAGACGAAGACGGAGATGAAGGAGAGTCTGAAGACGATGAAGAAAATGACGATAATGAAGATGATGATGAAGAAGATGATGAAGAAGATGATGAAGATGATGAAGAAGAAGAAGAAGAAGAAGAACCAGCACCTACACCTCAAGATAAGAAACGCAAGGGGCAGCAGCAGCAGCAGAAGCAGCAGCAACAGCAGCAAGGCAACAAGAAGGGTATGTATATTTTTGTAATTTCTATCGTCCGAATTATTTTTCTACATTATTATACAGTATATCTCTGCTGCTTTTTGCTTGCTGCTGCTGCTGCTGCTGCTGCTGCTGCTGTTACTACAACTGCTGCTGTTGCTGTTGCTGCCTTTATCGAGACCGATGTGTTGTAATTGTTTTTTCTTTTTGCTGTTAGCTTCCTTTCTTTTTGCTGTATATATATTCTGTTGCCTTTGCTGCTGCTGCTGCTGCTGCTGCTGTTGTGTTTGCAGCCAAGACGCAAGCAGCTGCATCATCATCTGGTAGCGGGGGAGGCGATGAAGCTACATATAGAAATGCTTTAATTGAATTCTTAAAGAAGAACGGACCAACGCCTTTAGCTTCTCTGGGACAAAAGGTTAAAAAACCTGCATCTCTTCCTAAGATGGCGGCGTTCTTGAAGGCGAATCCAAATACATTCTCTGTTGAAGGAGGAAAGTGCTCTTTGAAATAAATAAATAAATAAATATATATAAATATATATATATATGTAAATATATAAATAAAAGAAAGAAGAAAAGCTATTTATTGCGTTGTTATGTATGCTGTAATGATGCTTAAAGAGTTTATTCAACTTCATTAGGCGTCATTGCATAGAAGAAAAGCAAATGATAGCTTTTATTATTTCTTTAGACTAAGACGTTGTTCATTCAAGAAATATATATAATAATATACAACAAATAAATAAATAAATTAACAACAGCAAATGTAATAATAATATTCTCTTGAAATATTATTACTTCCTTTCAACTCAGGAGGAGATGGTGATACAAGAAAAACAATGTTAGGCTGTATATATAACGTACATATATATATAATATATATATTATATAATATATAATATATATATTATATAATATATATATATATATATGAGGCTGTTTTTCTTTGCTTCTTGTTTGTTGGTCTTAATTTGAAGAATAAAACTTTTCCTCTTTTTCTTTGATGTGGTGAGGGCGTTACTATACGTCTATATTTATATTTATATTTATATTTATATTTATTTACTGCTTCTTCTTTGCAGTGCTCTCTCTGGTTAATATTATTATTAGCCAGGGGGAGTTTGTTGTTTTCTAAGGCAACTTCGCTCAGTCTTATCTATTTGTCTTTTCTCGTTTCTTTTAGTTTATTACTATTATTATTATTATTAGTTATTATTAGTTATTAGGTTAATGATTATTAGTTATTATTGTTGTTAGGCCCCGCTCTTTCATTGTTATTAACTGCATTTTATATTTTACTATTATTTAGTTGCTAAGTGCAGATTTTAACTTTTTTAGTCTCCGCTAGAAAGAAAAGACAAATATGGTTTTGTCTACATTTATGTTTGTGTGCTTCTAGATATTATTTATCTTTATTTATAGATATACATATATATATATATATGTATATAGATAGATTAGCTGTTATATGTATATTACATATACATTTCTTGAGATACACATTTCTAGGCATGCATTTAGATGCGAACTTGTTTGCCTACTATGTATATATATATATATATATATATT